GCCCCGACGATCTATTCCGAGCGTACCACACGACAGGGACCACTAGTACCTAATGATGTCAATGTTTACCCCCGTTCATCGTCCGAAGATTAGGGAAACAACCCTGTGCCTCACGATTACTTCTTGAGTGCGTCCAATTGTCTCACAGCGAGCTTTATTTGTCCTCCTCCTGAAGGGAACCATGTGTTATTACCCCAATCACGATTCCACTGAAAGCGCGGTCGAAAGGCGACTGAAGTTAGATAAGGACAGCCTTGTGTCTGGAGTTCGACACACATCTTCCGTTCGCGGACAAGAGCTTGTAGAGCAGGAGGGCGTGTTGAAGCTTTCAGATACAATGTACGCAGTTGTTCTAAACCTTTGAGGAGCCGTGCACATTCGTATACCTCCTGCTGATCCCGAGTTAGTACGACAGACACGATAGACCGAGCCGATCCTACCTCTTCCCATACCTTGGCCATAACGACTTCCAAATGTACAAGCTGAGTGTTGTATTCTACGATGTACTGGAATAGTTCCTTCCCTCTAGTGTAATTGGTCCAGGTCAACCGCTGCAATGTAGCAGTAGAGCCAAAGCATTCGTCATGATGATCAAATGAATACATCCCATTTACCAATGTTTGAGACGGATGTAGAAATGATTTGTCCTCTCCTGTGTTGATGACCTTTACAGGACGAGAGGGCACAAAAATTCTGAGAAATGAACTGTGCACTGATATAGATTGTAGTTTAGGCAAAGTACCTTCGGGTAGCGGTTCTTCTACGAGATTGATATGATGTGGACCGATAAGTCGGAGCTCGATTAGATTAGGGGTCGACTCGAAGAAGCCAAAGTATTGAGCATTGAGCCATGCCAGTTCCAGAATCTGAAGCCTAGGTAGCGAGGCATTCCCTTGAGCAGCATGGAACTTCAAGAATGCCTGAATGACGCCCGATGGCTCCGTTAATATTAGCTCGCGGAGCGAACCACCTGCTACGATTGCGGAAAGCGTTGGATTATTGGTCGGATAGATGAAGGAATTGAGAAACTTGAGATAGTTTACGGTGAAATTAGTCGCATCCTGTAATTCAAGTCTTCCGATTATTGTCGAGTTTTCAAAGACAAGATCCAAGGCTAGGTGTGGCCGACTACAGAGATATGCAACATGTCGAACGAGTATCTTTACGCCGTGCAGAGTCACCTCTTCAAGATGCGGTAGGTCTCCTACTAACGAGATTATATAGTCGACTGGATCAAATTGCTCAGCCGAGCTGAGTGAAGGTGGAGAGCTAGAGAATGACAGGAATCGGAGTTCGCATCGTCTAATATAGCTTCTCAGCTCGGGTTTGGAATGAAGCATTTCCAACAACGAGCAAATTGGCTCGCCTAGCACAGAGAGACGGGAATCGATGAGATTGGTGGGGATTGGCCGTATCTTCTCCCTCACGGTATTTGAGGACTTGTCGTTAAAGTTAAATCGAGCGAAAGCTACGCTAGGCCTCAATGCTATCACAATAGTCGTGAACAGCTCCGAGAGAAAGATCGCATAGAATGTTCTGTTAACGAGGATCAAGGATAGGTGATCTTTTTGATCTAGATGAGAAGATATATTATGCCATAATTCAACGGGGAGAGTTGGGGAATACTTCGTAGACATTGCCCGACGAAGCAGAGGACAAGTTCAAGTCTATAAGCGGGTGTCGGGTGGAGCACCATTTTGCACCTGGGTGGCTGATGAGCCACGTTCGAGACCCAATGGATGTGGGCCTTGGATTTATTTTTCTATATTGGAAAATCCAATTTAAGGTGCAAGAACTCTTTACCCTCCGGCTAGATCATGCAAGAGATACGCAACTCCCTTCGTTCATCTTCGGAGTCCTCCGTAAGGTATAAAGCAAGAGAAGGTGATACATAAAGAAGGTGAGCAATACAATCTCTAGAAAGGATACAAATAATGGTATCGGCAACGATTATGGGACAGTAGCTGTGTACTTGGTCCTGGAGTCTACGAGATTGGGCC